ATTTGGATTACATATGTAATCATTATATAATCTGGGAATTATTACAAAAATGAGACCCACTTTTTAAAAGAATATCTAACTCCAGTGTAGTAAAGCCTACTGAGGGCTACCTGTAGCTGGGCTAGTTTTAATACAATGAAGTAGAAGCCTGTTCTCTCAGTTGAGCCCATAAAATGCACAATACCTTTCTTTGCTTAGCCGATAGGTGCATGGAGCTCTAATAACTGCTAATCCTTGGATAACAATACAGCATATACCAAGTACTTAAAAATTCTTAATTAAAATCTTGTCATATAAACTTTAATCAGCTCCTAGCATTATGCATAATGAATAAGGTACAACCAAAATAAATGCTCCCAATAAAATCTATTATGCGCCAGTATTTCAAATATATTTTAATGTTACTTTTACAAAATGTAGCAGTTTTATTTATAGAGTATGTATAAATGTATAACAACAACACTTATGCTAATACTTGTTTTCTCAATCTCTTTAAACTACAAGATCCCTTTGGGAGTTAGACTTAACTTGGTAAATGTGTGATTTCTAAAACAATGTCATCCAAGTTATTGAAATTCAGTATATATCTGTTGAATGACATAGATCACTCAAAGTATTTAAGAGATAAAGCAGCACATGTGACTCCTAGGCAGAATGAAGTAGAGGCTATTTTTAATCAGTGCCTACAATCACGTAGCTTTTATGGGCAGATTTTATCTTTATTTTTATTTATTTATTGTGGTACCGGGGATCGAACACGGGTCCTCCTGCTTGAGAGGCAGGTGGCGAAACCACCGAGCTACGTCCCCAGCCCTTATCTTTATTTCTTTAGCATCATAATCACGTGTTGAGCATATCTGAGAGTATTGTTTCCAGTGGCAGCCGTGAACTGTTTCTAACTCCGTGTGTGTACGTGTGGCATGGTGTGTTCGGACAACTACAGAATTCAGCAGCCGCTTTCAGCTAATGAGGACTCTGAAAGAGAAGAACTTATTTCTATAAATCGAGCTAGACTGATTTGTTCGGAATGCGGTTTACTTTGGCCCCGTCCCTCTCATAGGTAAGGCGCCCCTTTGTGTAAAGGCAGCTCCTTCTCACCGGCCGTGAGACACGCTCGTGTGACTGACCTCGACAGCATGGACTTCTGTCAAGATCCTCAGTTGAACTGAAGACATCTTTCTGTTTGCTTATTTTATCAAACCTACTAAGATTTGAATCGGCCATTCATTGCAGTCCTAGAGCCTGAGTATGTGCATGTCTTTATGATATCGCCTAGTAGGAAGTTATTAGCATAAAATTGAAGAAGCAGCAGTAAATGGAGTGATTATAAAGGATCTATCACTTTCTTCATAAGATAAATAATAACAGACACGGAAAGCCACCCCAAAGAAGGTGATGCTAGCACTAGTCTTGCTGGACACGATAGATTTGTTTGTTTGTTTGTTTGGTACCAGGAATCAAACTCAGGTCCTTGTGCTTGCGAGGCAGGCGCCAGAACTACTGAGCTAAATCCCCAGCCCACAATAGATTATTTATCAAAGAATGAAAATAGCAATTGAGGCTGTTAATGCAATGCGCTCATATCCCCTTCACAAGTAACATATACTCATCATTACTAAATATCTGCTTATTTCTACCTTGCCAGAAGTATATATCCCTCCCCATGTTTACATTGAAAACTACAAATCATCTAAACGAAGGCTCTTTCAAAGGATGCAAGCAACTCAGTATAAGCCACAAAACTGGTCCATGTTTTCATTCTTCTGGAGTAATAGTAAGGTCTAAAAATAAGGCAGGCCCCTTTAATGCAGAATATAATCAGGGATGAAAACCTTCTCTTAATGAAAAGCCATGGTTCAGCTACACTTGCTGAAGCCAAATAAACAATCATGAATTGACACACAGACAGAAATGTGTATAAATTATTCAGAATGAAATGTTCAAGTAATATTAACCTAAAGGTATAGTCATCAATTTTATCCTGACAGATGGCACTGGGTAGTTAGTATTCAAGTGTTACTACATAAATAATATTGATTTATGCTAACCGAGGAGACGGAGAAAATTTTTTATCAGGATGCCCAAATTCTTTTCCTTCTGGCTTGGTCAATCACCTCTCTACTGAACTGTGTATCACTTTCTTGGGAAATTTTTAGCAGAGAAATTGGGCTGAGGCAAAATGAATAATGCATTTGCCGCAGTGTTAAACTAATGACCCTTAAGTGCTTTTAAAAACTGAGTAGCGATGACTGCTTCCCTTCTGAGCAGATCCCTCTCTCTGTCTCTCTCTCCTGTCTCTGTCCCTCTCCCATTGGAGGAAAGTAGCCTTGACCGCTCACTGTTTTTGGTAGACGTGATGAGAATGGGAGGAGTCAGTAAAGCCAGCACTGTGTAGCCACGTGGTTTCCTCCTGTTTTCCGCCCTTTCCCCATAATCTTGGTCCCCAGTCCCGGCACATTTCAGTCTCACTGCGGTTTGCAGAGCACTCATTTGTGTTAATCACTTTTGTGTTTACTTTTACTGTTTTCATAATGCTATCGTGTTATCATAAAGACAGGTAAGGCAGAGAGCCATTTACTCTGCCGAAGTAGGAGGGGTATCTGACAGCCCTGTACGGTTAAAATCTGCCTTAGCTGGCATTTGTGATGCACGAACAATTTTTTATCGCTACTTGAGAGGGTCCCTGAAGAGACAGAATAGTGGCTCAAGTTTCTGTAGCAGTCTTTTTAAAATCCACAGAAAGCAAGCAAGATAAGACCAATGCCTACATTAAACATGCTTAAAAAGAAGCTTGCATAGGATAATTAAAGGGAAAGGGAAAAACTCTGGTTGAATAATGCAGGACAAACCCAATGGAAAAAAGGACCCATTGAAACAGCACTTGAGGTGGAAGTAAAGAATTTTGTGGATTTGTAAAGGGAGGCTGAGCCACCCCTCCCCCTCCCTCCCTCCCTCCCTCTCTCTCTCTCCATGTGTGTGTGTGTTAGTAGAGAATGCAACTGGCAGACAGCTGCTGACAGCAGAATTGTTCTGTAAGAAAGCAGTCATTTACAAAATTAGTGTGGGGTTAGGCAACCTCACTATTCCTTTGCAATTCTCATTAGGTCAGAATAGCAGTCCCCCCACCGTCACTTTCATCTTAAGAAGCATGAACTAGTTTCACCCTTTTAGCTTGGGCTTTTCATCCTAAGGAAGGATTACACTCTACATCACCACTGCTTCTTTTTCATTTCATGGCCATTCTGTCTTTAGGGGAAATCAGCCTCACATTGTGTTATTCTTATGCCCCTAAGTAATGTTTCTTTAAAAAAAAGGTGAATCTCTTTCAATAAAGTGGACCCGGTTTGATGGAACTACCAAAGTAAAAAGGAAAGAAAGAAAGAAAACCTTCATTATTTGAAAAGGGCATCCAACATTATAGCAGCCAAACGTAAAGTCTAATGGTGAAGTCTGTGATGCATTATTATTCTTAGGCTTTTCTTCTCTCAAATAAAAATATAAAAGAAATGATTTGAAGCCTACATGACATCACTGGACAAGTAACAGGCATGTCTTCTGTTCCCTAATTCCAAAGCCAGAGGAATGTGTACATTAATGTATATTTAATTGTAAGGCTTTGGAGCCAGATTCTTTCCGAACTAGAAGCACTTAAGTCACAAGTAGCCCCCTACCCACACACACAGTCAAGTATGTATGGACGCACTCCCAGAGTCACCCAGCTTTCTACTGCCCCACTTTTTTTTGCCTGTGTAAAACTGAGAGAACTAAATTAGAGGCATAACAGAAACCTCTAGCGTACAGTAACATAGCAACTGCCCTAAAGTGTTCTGCAGAGCTACATAACTGTCTTTCAACTGTGACACCTGTTTCCTTCTGCCATTTTTCCATCTTATCTGTCATTATGATGTAATGATTGTATTAGACAGATACATCTTTCTATACAGGTTAAGTGAACCCAGTTTACATATAATATTATGGGAAAGGGGAGTGGCAGAGGGCAGAGGCTGAAGAGAAGTGATTACCACTACTAACTGATTTACTAAAACACACTCCAAAATTCCAAACAATTAGCGCTGCTTTGCCAAAGTTTTTACTGACCCCCACCAAAATCTTTTTTCTTTACCTGTATAAGTAGGTGATTATATAATTATCATTCCATTTACATAGCAGTTTTATATCATAATGTATTATAAGGGATCAGCTGGAGTTTGGTTGCTCAGCACAGTTCCTTCAGGCAAAGATGGATTTTAACCAGACAGCAAAATTTCAAGTGGCTATTTATAATTCAAGTGGCTACGGAAAAGCTAGGCTTTAGAAATGGGGAAAAGAGCCCAAGCCTTTGCAAAATTTAATAAAAACTTGGCAATCTTAAGCATTGGTAGGCTTTACATTGTGATTACAGTTACCCAAGAAGGAGAAAAGTCTCCTAGGAATGTTACATTTTTTTTGTTTGTTTATTCTGAGGTTTTAATATACAATTAAAAGAATGCATGATAAATATAAATAAATAAAATCTCAAGAGAAAGCAAAAGAATGTTTTGTCATTGTCACTGTTCTTGTTATTTTTTCAGTGTCTGAAGTGAGGATCTTGGGTAGTAGTGACTGGAAAGTGTTCTGTTTTGGAAAGTGAGGTGTTAGCTCTCACCTTGCAGGTAGACACTGTGCTTTCTTGTCCTATGTGGGATTTGCAGAGTGGTAGGGCTTGTTTGAGAAACTTGCTCCCAGTAAACTGAGCAGTGTCTGCTTCAGGGGGGAGCTGGCACTGCTGAAAGTCACACACCCACCTGACTGGCCCTCCCCGCTACAGCCACGCATGCGGAGACTTCCTGTCCTGAGAACACCCTTTCGGTAGACATATTACACAGCTTTGGTTATGTCTTATCTTATTTTACCAAATATTTCCCAGAAGTGAATCAAAAAACCTTCTAATATTGATAAAATTCAGGAGACACCTTAGTCCTAGCAGCAAAACATTCGCAAACCCTCTGTACTCGAAGTACCTTGGCCGCTGAACTTTTTTCTTTAGGTGCAGCATTCTGAGGCTTGTTGGCTTCAAATTGGAGACCTTGTTACATGTTGTCCTTTAATCCCAGAGGCACCCTTCGTTTTGTCTTGTGTTTCCAGTTAATGGACATATGTAAATCTGTTAGAATAAGTAAAATAATATGTGGGACACTCTGTGGAGCTTCAAAGTAGAAAGAAAAATGTCAAAAAGCATTGTGGTTGTGCATCAGGATTCAGCACTTTTTTTTTTTGCTTTAAGTTTGTTGAAACTTTTAGGTACACAGTGCAGTTACGTTCACCATTGGGATCCTGTACTTTACTGACAGATCTGGGTTCTTATTTTCCCCACTCCCCTGCCCTCCCTTCACCCCCTCCCCTCCCCTATTTACAAAGACTTTGTTTCCAGTTTTTCCTTTTCTCGTATTTTTTTCTTTTCCCTTCTTTCCTTTCCTCTACCCTTCCCACTTCCCCTACTCCTTTAGACATTTTCTTCAGCAATGTTTTTAACCTTCACTTGGCTTCTCCCGTTGAGATAACTGCAGCCTCCCGATGGTTTGTTTGTTTTTTTTTTTTTTTTTTTCCTGCATACACACTTTTGCCTTTAATGGCCTCCAGCTGCAGTTGACTTGCTTTAACAATTTATTTTCACGCTCTCATCTCTCATCTCTGAAGTAATTGTGAAGACAATGGAACTTGAAATCCTGCTTAGGTAGGTAATAATAAGTCAGTGCCTTGGCTAAGTAGCAGGCAGCCCTACAGCTTCATCTGTTTTTATTTATTTATTTAGATACCGGGGATCAAACTCGGGGCTTTGCGCTTGCGAGGCAGGTGGCGGAACCACTGAGCCAAATCCCCGGCTGCTTTTATGAATAGTACCAGAAAGCAGAAAAATCTGAGCAGCAATTTGGCAGCTCCATTCTTACTTTGTAACCTGCATAAGAAGATTGTGCCTAGTCCTTTGTATTACTGAGATCACACTTCAACATGTGACTTGCTTCCACGGCCGTAAAGCATCAGTTCACCAAGCGAGAACGGATACCCACTCGCATTGATGCACAGAAGGCCTCGGTATTTCTTTGCATCTTCTGAGACTGCGCACCACTGGAAATCAAATTTACCACACTGATTTCCCTCTCCTAACTCCACGAAAGCCGGTGATTCTAAAGAGTCACTCTTTCATGTGTCTGGCAGCCATGTATTGAGGCTTCCCCAGGCCGGGGACTGTTCTCAAAACGGGAACAGCTGGCTCAGGGATCCTCCACGGCAGCTGGCGGAAGGTGCATGATGGACTAAGGTGATAAAGAACTACAGCGATTCCAGACAGGGCATGTGTCGTGGAGAAAGGGAAATGAACTGATGCTACAGAAAGCGACTTCGGGGGAAGGGAAGAAGGAATAGGTAAAATTTAGGTTGTACAAAAAGCTGCGCTAAGGAAGTGATAGCACTCTTTAAAACCATGCCAGCTGGATGGTTAGAAAGAAGAAACCAAGAGAAAACCAGAAGAAAGAATTGAGGTTGGGAAACAGCTAAATATAAACAGTTTAAACCAAGGAAACTGGAGGTTTGGAAAGACACATTATGGTTTTTGACGCCAGGTTATAAGGAGGGATAGAAAATGAAGTATACGAGTTAGACTGAAACAAGACTATGGTGATCCTTGGAATCTTGTTAGAGTCTAAATGCTTCGGTGGAGAAGGGCTGCCACTGGGATGTTTGAGGCAGAGGTGTGCCATTGTGCAAATTAATTGGACTATGTAATGCCAGCTGCTGTGAGACAGACTGAGGGCAGTCTGTTCAAGTCTGGGTTAGGGAGAGGTGGTTGGGACAATCAGTGGTGGCAGCATGGAAGGGGTGAATGAATCTGGACTCCAGGGAACTTATGACTGAGTGGATGGTACTGCCACTTACTGAGAGCAAGACCATTGGAGCAGTAGCAGATTGAGAGATGGGAAGAGGGTGAGAGTAGTCAGATGCAGAAGTACAAATAGAAAGCAAGTAAGCATTTGTGCAAATCTCAAGTTTGGCAACTAAGCCTGCATATTTATGAGTCCTTGTATAAATCTAGACTAAATGAGATCTTTTTCAAGTTTTATTTTTATTCTTTCCATATTCTTTTTTCCCCACTCCATTTGTACTCAGGATCATCTTGAAAATCCTTTTTAGCCATTATGTTTTTCCTAGCTAAGTGGGAAGAAAGTGAGCAGAGGTAGGAACTACTACTGAAGTCTTGAAGACAATATAGTCAGTAGTCATCTCTCAAATACCAAGATAGTAAAGTCTGAAAGGAACATATGTGATAATTTCCATGATAACCAGGTTGTAAGACGGACCCTGTGATGGGTATATTTTCAATGGTGTCTGTGGCACTATGTGATTTTAGTAGGTAGAAGCCTGTTTCATTTGTTTTGTGGAGACTAAGACTGTTTCCTGTGTGTAAGGAAGGATGATAGAGACCAATGACAGATGAAGCCTAAATAAATTGCTTACATTTTCACAAAAGCCTTCTAAACATTTATTAAAAGTAAAATTCCATTTACTTTCGGTATGCTTTACTTTGAGTTGCTAATAGTTTTTATGAAAGTTTTATAAAATAAAACATCTTTTAATTCTTATATTGAGGGAAGACTTGTTATAAAGTCACTCATACTCATTAACATAATTTTTAAAGTATTTAATTATTTCAAAACAACAGAAAAGAAAAAAAACTACTGGTATACTTGTGCATTTTATGCAGTTGTGTAAATTGGTAGATTTTCTTCACATTTTAAATTTATTATATATTATTCAATTTTCCCTATTGTATGGCCCTGCTCTATCTTTGCAGTATATTTCTAATGAACATATTATATATTATAATTTTCTGACTAAAAATTAGTAAGCAATATTTTGACATAGTAAAATTAAGCATCATTTTTAAGTTGTTCCTTGCTAATACTTGCCAATCTAATTAGGGTATTATGCCAATCTAATTAGGGTATCCATACAAAATGACCAGGCAATACAGCATTTAGTTCAAATTCAGTTGAAGCTGTTAATATGGGAAGAATTAGGCAAAGCAAATACCAATAAAAAACTTTATAGCTAGAAATGTGCGTCTCAACCATGAGAACATCTCACAAGGGATGGTGAAACAAACTATTACAATCAACTTGTAAACAGTCTGGTCAGGAGAGTTCCCAAGAGTTCCTGGATCTTAGAAATTTTATGGGACATAGAGTATATAAACCATCGTACATGTTTCATATTTCATTTGCAGCCCTCATAAGAACATTGGAAGTATTCCAATGTAGGAGTGGGAGGAGCTCAATGTCGTGATAGATGCTCTGAAAAAAAGATTTGGAGATAGACACAAGGACAGCAGAGTATCTGGCTAAGAACCTGAAGTTGGAGACCAACTGCTAGATCATATTATTTTCACCTCGTTGGAAAGAGTCACCCTGTACCCTCCTGAGCCTCGTTGACTCTCACATGGAAGATGAAGTGAATATTGGCAATTACTGCATAGGGCTGTGTGACAGTTAAATTCGGTGTCTAAATAAATTGCTTATGACAGAGCCACATAGGAAACTCTCATAAATGTTATTTATTCTTATCATTATTAACTAGGCTAACTGGGCAAGGGAAGGCATTAAACTAAAAATTAAAGCTGATGAACTGTAAGAAAAGGTTATAAAGTCTAGACTAGACATTTTTTCTTAGGTATTGCTTAAATGTTTTGTTTGATTTGGTTTCTTGCATGCTGCCTACTTGAAGGTTCCCTTCACTGTGCGTTTGCTCTGTCAGTGTCTACCCATCCTCTCTTCTACAGGTCAGGTGTTTACTCCGTGGTGAGCTTGTGGTGAATGCTGACAGGTGAAAAAATAGACCACAGTTCCTGCCATGTAGGGAAAACATGAAAAGAAGTTATTTGCATAGCATGATCAATGCTCTAAGTTGATACAAGCAATATGTTTTAAGCACAGAAAAATATATGTCTAATTCTCTAATAGGAATTAAAGAGAACATGGCATTTAAATTAAATGTTGAGATTTGCTAGGGAGACAAGAAATAAAGTTAATCCCTGGTAAATAAAATATTGTCTAGAAAAGTGAAAATGAAAGAAAGGAAGCTGTTGGTGATTTCAGAGTACTTTAAGCAATTTAATATAGCTGGAATCAAGTGGGAGAGGAGAAAGGTAAACTGGAATCGTGGGCAGGAATGGGTCCATGGTACGCTCTGGAGTTACAGTTGTGTCACCCAAGCAGTGCACTCACTGAAGAACTCCGGCAAAGGACATAAGTATTGAGTTGTGGGGATTTTACTCAGGCCACTAGACTAAGCTCATATCAGCAGAACAACTCCCAGGACTGGGGATGTAGCTCAGTAGTGCTGCTGCCTGCCTCACAGGCACAAGGTCCTGAGTTTGATCCCTGGTATAAACAACAACAACAACAAAACAAACAGTTGCCAAAGAAAATGAGGCAGCCAGCAAGAGTCTAGGTGAAAGTTGGTGAGATTCTAACGTATGACTATGGCAGCAGAAATGGAGAACAGTAACTTGAGATAAATTTAAAGATGAAGTTGACAGCATGTAGTTATTCTTTAAACATGGAATTGAAGAAAAACAGAAAGTTAAATGTAATTGTCCTGTTAATGGGTATATGCACAGCAGTATTGCTGGAATAATGCATTGGATTATGGGAAAAATATAAAAATTTTACTGAAAACAATCCTTAATCTTTCTTTTTAGATTTTGATGTTTTGCGCTTTATAAGGCTTACAATATAGCACAAGTAATACATTTGAATAATCCATGTAAATGTGTATGGACACTGGGCATATATTCATTCTTTTACTAATAAATACACACAAGTATGAAAGCTTGAGATCACTACCTCAGTATAACATGTTTTGACATGGTAAAATGTAGGGCTACCCAAGGGAAAACTTACCTAAATATCACTCTAAATCCTACAGCAATGTGTTTTAAAGAGTTACTCTCCATTGCTTCTAACATACACGTTTCTTACTTGGTTACCTTACTGCATGATGTAAACAGTAAGAAATACAGCCAGACTGCTCTCCACTTTGCTTACAGCCTACTTCATTTTTCTTTAAGGTAAATGTCAACCTGAACCAACCAAGTGGATTTTTCCTTGC